GTATTTTATTAACTGAGGCAAAATGCATTTTATTAGATGAAGAAAACTATGTTTTATTAAAAGAAGGGAAGAAACATTTTTTTTTAATTCGATATATAAAATTTTCTTCTTGTTTGATATTCTATACATTAAGCTGGTTGCTCAGTCATTTATGCAAATTAATTAAGAATAAAACTTTTGACAATGATTACAAGATTTAAGAATTCTTATCTTAGGGTTTATAATGGATAAAAATTCAAACATATCGCCCTATTACAACATTTCAAAATGTGGAATATTTTGTATTTACGTTATCAAACCACAACGTACATTTTACTTCTTGGATATTTTTCTCGTTGCAAGTTATGTAATTTAAATTTTGCATTTGTAAAAATATTTCTACTCTTAGCTCTCAAAATGTGTCTATAAAATAACTTGCCTTAATTTTATAAACTTCAAGTCGAAATATATACCTACAATTAAATTGAAGAAAATCAATCATGTAACCACCTTTTTTTATATGTTCTATAAAATATTCAGGGATTCGAATCTCAGCAAACTGGCTGTGTGTGTTTTCGTGGTTTTCCCCCATGTGTAACTTGCATACACTCCAGTTTCCCTTAGAAAGTCCTCAGCGAAAACATCCCTTCCTTTAGGCAGATAGCTCTCGTGTGCTTTGGCATAATTAAATAAACCAAATCAAACTATTCGTATAATATGGTGTACATAAGAAATTATTTCTTACGTAAAAGTACAAGAAAATATCTTGATATCAAATGCAACAAAATTATTTACTAATATTAAAAATTTTGTCTTTCAAAAGAAATTTAAAAAACTAGCTGTTGTGGAATAAAACTGATTATATTGTTTTGACATTCTTAAATTTCCAACGTAATTTTAATTCTTTTCAAAATTTGATGGTCAGTTTATCAGTAATGGCAACAATACGCTTTGCTTTGACTAGAGCAATGAAACTTTTATTATTTATGTATTTCCTTTTCATTCTTTGAGTAACTGTTACACAATTTCTCTCTCTTCTCGCACAAATCTAATACATATTCTATTTTCTCATTCATAATTTACAAAACATATAAAATATCTTAATAACATAATGCTGATCTATCGACATCTGACAAAGCAAGTTAAAGAGAGTTTATCGATAATGTAAATGTAAATCCTTCGAGACATTTCTAGCAGCGTCTCTGTTTCTTTGTTGAGGTAAATATTTATAAAAATTTATTGAAGACTTCAGTTCATTAAGAATTCAAAACGTGTTATTTGTTTCTATCGATCATAACCTATGAGACATTGGCCTTGTTACACAGTCCCTGGAGATAAAAACGTCTACATTAGATACATGATAAGTTTCGAGAGTTTCGAGAGAACGAAAACGAAATTATCTTCTTTGTTTTTTTTATGTAATGCAATAAAAGTTATCTATTATAATCAGTGATTATTTCATGTGCTGGTCCATTTAAATTTTTCTGAGCTAGAAGAAAAAAAATTCCAGAATGCGGCTAAAGCAATCACCCGCACAATCGATTAGATCTGAAAGCTTGGAGAAACATTTTATTGTTCTATTCCCTAGTGAATTTTCCTCTTTGCTTGAATAAAAGTAAAATAGCACGATTCCCTGTCTAGTTCTAATGAAAGGTATTCTGCTTATTTGCCATCTGAATTTGTATGCTTATTGAAAATATGTTTTTTTTTACTCATCTGGGATAGATCTTTTGGGAATGAGATGTATAAAGACTTAAATTCAGGCCATTTATAGCTATATATCTGCAGAGTTAAGAATTGTCTCTCAATAAAAAATCCTACGTTTACGATGTAACCTTATTTGATGGAATCGCGAAGTTAATTTCGAATTCATAAGCCATGCAAATGTTTTATGAATCCTCAAAGAATAAACTTTCGTTTTGGACTTTTTCTTCTTCATTGGAGCAGCCTCAAATGCAATATCACAGCTTCATTTAAACAATACATTCCATGTAAAATAGAAGCAGATATATTCAGGTATTGATAAAATGTTTCTGTAGCAAACACAGCACTGAAATTAACTTTCTTAATTCTTTTGAGTTTGTAAAAGAGGTACGCTTCAATAAGGATTCGAATCCCTGACCTCCGTTGTGTAGAACTCTACAATTATAGACAGAACTCTACAATTATGCTATCGAGCATGGCAGCCATTTACGGATAACTTGTGCTTTAACCTTTTGAAGACGGGAGGGATGGCCATTATAGTGGCCATAAAGTCCTCTCTTTGAAAAGACGGGGTTGTCCACTTTAGTGGCCATGTCTTTTCCCCCAGTCTTTTTCCCATTTTCCAGGCTGAAAAGTTGGATGAAATGTCAAATTTGACGTCCCTGCAGTCTTAACCACTTATCTCTTTCAAAGGTCTTCCCTTTGCAACATAGATGCACCCCTCTGAGAATCCATTAAACTACACACAAGAATCTTTGTTGCAAATAGGAGGGGATTTCTTAAAGGGAGGAAAGCATTCGGTTCAAGATTCCCCGTCTTTTGGTAGCTTTTACTGCTACCAAAGCCCCGGCCTCAAAAGGTTAAGCGATGGTAATCTCAGCGATAACAACTGCAATTTAATACAAGTAATAACCGTTCACACGATATTATTTATTACATTAAATGGAAAATGAAGTAAATAGTTGTACATTATTATTAGAATATTGTATTCTTACAAAATCTACTTGTATTAAAAAAGGCAGGAAAAATACTTTTGTTGCCGAATGGGTAATATATAACATAAATTTGAGATTATTAAATATTCCAATAAAATCCTTAACTTTGTTAGCATTTCCAAGTTCCTTTATCGCCTTCAAATAAGTTCTTTTTAGTATGTGTTACAATTAAAAACGGGATTACAATTAAAATTAAAATTTTAAAACGTGCTTTAAATGCGTCGTCATTTATTCTAAAATTTCATTCAAGAAAGGAGAGTACATCAGATTTCTAGATAATCTGCTTTTCTTGAAAGAGAGTGAGAAAGTTCACATAATATGAGGATCCACACATGATGATACACATGATTCACTTCATGAAATGCAGATGAATCCAAGGTTCTGAATATACAAGACTTGCCCAAATGTTTTAAGTATATTTATAAAAAAAGTTTATTGAAGTTTTATTTCGAGCACATACAATTAATTTTTTGCTTATCAAATAATTTAGCAAGATATTTAATCTGTACCACATCTTTTCCCTCTCTTCAGCACTCTTTTTAAGTCAGAACCAAAACTTTCGTACTTAATCGTTGAAATGATTAAGTTGCATCTCTCTCTTTGGTAAAATTTGCTCAAACATATTTATCTGTGAAGCAAAGCGAAAACGTTATAAAAGATTTTCTTTAATCTACCATGATAAAATTAATTTCATTACACTGGAAATAATATTTTAATTTAGATATTTTCAATATATTAAAAACAAATAATATCGCGATGACATTTCGCTGCTGCAACAAGAATTTTGCGACATTATTTTATACCGAGCACTTCTGATGGGACACATTTTCATACCTGTGGAAGTGAACTCTTTGAAGAAGTATAGACAACCAACGAATATACTTGCCATGCTGCACCGCATAGTCACTTTAGCTTCGGGTAAAGGCGCTGGTGCCACATCTTAAAAATTTTCATCAGCCTAGTGAACACAGTTCTTGGAGTTTAAATTTCCAATTAAGGAGAAATGAGCCTCATTTGTCCATAATAGCCGCAGCGGTTACATGTTATATGCATCATATCTAATAAGGAAAACATTCACAAAGTCGACCCGCTGCTAGTAGTCTCCAAGTTGTAATCTCTGGACTCGCTGGAATCGATAAGAAAACATCTGCAGAACACAGCGCAGAAAACTGATGAGTGTGGTTTTCGGTACATCCAAACTGCAGGCGACACTTATTGCACTATGCTATGAACCTGCAGTAATTGTATTATGCACTTCCCCAAAAACTTCAACCGGAGCACATGGTAGTCTGGATCGTGGTCTATCACATGTGCGTACAGTCTCTTCATTGTTTTTACCAAATTACGGAAAGTTTTTTTTATGGAACATGGCCCTCATTTTACCTTATGGTTTAGTCGATAAAAACGCACGTCTTCGGCAGCACTTTCCCCCTTTCAATTAAAACAGCTTTATCTACTCACCTCGTTGTTTCCCTGTAAGCACTATTTTGCTAACCCGTTCGGAAACCTTACTGAAGAAACAGTTTTCCTATACTGCTTATTAAAATTTAGCAATGTTTTGCACATGGTGTCCTATTATTGATGGTCTATTGTCTATTCCTGTGGATTATGTAAAGTGCGTCAATGCACCTTCTGTCTCTGTTGTCATTGTTCTTTTACAATGCTATTCTTTGCAAATGTTTTACACCGGCAATTTTTATCACATAGTTTTTCAGTGCGCTGATCAATTTGCGCGTGAAAGAAGTGGGTGTTGCTTTCCGAAAATATCGACATTGTTTTACTGTAACCGTCATTGTGTTCGCTCTATTCTTTTAAATTATCACGATCTCGAGTACGTACTTTCAAACAACAATATCTGAAATTTTATTTCAAATGGTTGAGCGGATAGGTCGCTAAGTGTTCATATATCGGGGAAATTAGTTTTTTATGACTGCCTTATACATTCTGCCCTTTGCAATATCGAGTTATCTTTTGTTCCGACCAACAGTTCCTTTTTTGAGAGCGGCAATTCAACAACCTACAAGAGGTGAAAGTTGGAATAAAGGAGTCAAGGAAAAGAAATAAATTTTTGTAGAATCAAATACATTAAAGAAAATTGGTTTAAAATCAAGTTGTTCATGTTTTAAATACTGGGCAACTTTCATTGTAAAGTTACTCATATAACATAAAGTGAATAAAATATTGGAATACGTTTTGATTCAACTCAGCGTTATTTGCGTCTGTGAGGTTTTTATGTATGGTGGTAATTATCAACAATTTTATCGTCAATACTACATCAACACTACAGTTAGAACCTAATAAAGGATTTCTTATTACAGATACCTCTTATCCAAAGATGCACTCAGAGAAATGAAGTCCCACGCTGCTAAGTGTTGAACTAATTCGCAGAGTCCTACTCCTCCTGCATGTGGACACACTGGGACTGAAAAAAAAAGGAAACCCAGATTGAATTAAAATAATTTAAACAAAATTTAAACAATTTACGATTCATACAATAACCTAGATGTTAACAACAGAAGAGTCTGTTATAAAATTTTGCCAAAACATAGCTAATTTTGTAGATTCATTAGGTTTTTTTGAAACAACAGAGGTGAAAAATATGCATTGCCCTCGCTGGAACTCGAACGCTAGACCTCTCTAATACGATAGGGTGACATTGTCCATCTCTGTCCGAAAGAATGACATTGTTGAGATTTCGAGCCTATTTTTCAGTTTATCTGCGTTCTCGTTACCTGTGATTTTGATATACGCTGTCAATCATTGAAGAATGCAGACCTTATCCAACTTTTGAAGCTCCTTTAGACGAAGGTGGATACCGTTGGTGATCAAGGAGCTTCCATTCAGGATTGCATGTAGAACTGCCTTTGAGTCACAGATGACAATTCCTTTTGCTTGCCCAGAAATGGGAAGGGAAAAATATACATGCCAAATGCCTCTGCCAGGAACTCCCAAGTCAAGTTACAGACAATGGCTCCAGCGCCAGTTTTGTGCTGATAAGTAGTGTCGTCTGAAGTAGACAGAAATACCCCAGAATCTCTAGTACTGATTGTCTCATGAGTGAAGAAATAGTTTCGAATAGCTTATGAAGGAAATATATTTTAATGTTTTCCAAAAGGGCTATTTCGATGTCATTTAAACCAGTCATCTGAAATCATATGTGGGCCGAATGTTCGATCTGAAATCAGCTGACAGCCAGAACATTTTTCTAACAAAATTTGAAAACGTTTTTAACAAAATAAAAATAAATCAACTAATTTTTATATCTCACTTAGTGAATATTTATCAAAACAAACAAAAACAATAATAATAATTGCACAAACGTAAAATTCAAATTTATATTGATTTTATATTTGAAATCTGAAGGTTGGTATCGGCAAAAAATTTCTTTTAGTCATACTTTGTAATTCAAACGTCTTGACAGCTAAATGGTACATTTTAGACTGAATCTTATTTCACGTAATTCCAATATGGTTGATTAATCACTAAATAACTCACTTTTAATCAGAAAACCAAAAATTTCAGAATACTGATGCGCCCCTTGCTGTCGACCGACAAACTAAATTTACTGACGGTACTAATTGGAAAATTCTCCCACCCTTACACATCACTTACTTACTTAATGTCGTGACTTGACGCTCAAGCATACAGTGACAAAAACCACAATCTATTCTTCCTAACTTTTTCCTTCAATAGAGTCTCGCACATTGTTTCAGTACATATCTTTATGTTTCTAAAACTATAAGCCCCGTATCTGCGACAAAAACATAATTGAAATATGTTTGCGTGGGGACATAAAATTGCTTCGGGACCCACAAGCGTTTGTCTGAGACCACTCCTTTAGACATCAACATGAAAAATCGTGTGTAGATTATTTATTGCTTTGCTGAATATTCACGGCAGAACTTTTACCAGTGATAAGGATAATATTGCACTATGCTTATTAGAATCATTTCAAGTAATTCGAAATTCCAGTTAATGCTGATTGGGACAATCCAAGTTCTGCGGAATTTATTTAAAGTAGCAGTATCGCATTAACAACGCAATTATTTTAGCAGCTTGAGATTCGCTTCAAAACAATTTGTGTATTTGAACTTAATAAAGACATCAGCTAACATCTGTTAGCTGCATATAAAGTAAAGACTACTTTTATATGCAGCTAAAAAATGAATATAAAAATAAATCAAATAGCCGATATATATGGTACGTTTTTTTTAGCATGTCATTATAAAAGGATGACACATAATCGTGGATGCGAAAGCAAAGGACGGATATAGGAATAAAATAAAATATGACAACTCGTCTCGCCCCATTCCCTCGTAAAAGATGCGTATAAAAATTTTCTTCCCTATTATGAATATTAAGGCAATGACCTCCGAACGAAACATGAATTTTGCTTTTTATTCCCCCCTGAATGGCAATTTGGCACCATTTCTTTGGGGTAGCGGGATGCTCATCCTTCCTTTTCCATCATGTATCTTAACTTTCTTTCTTTCCCTGAAGGGTCAGATTTAAGGGATAGAAAACAAGTGAAGGCCATATATCCTTTCTTCAAATATCTAATGTGGGCAGAGCATGATTTCCTTTTGCGGTCTATTAAGTTATACACGTTTTTGGCTGCATTTCATTTAAACTTATTTCCTCGAATTATCCTAACTTAATTAAGCGATTCCTTAAGAAAAGTTGAAAATGACTTCAAAAATTGGAAATTTTATAAATTGAACATATCCCTTTCATTTTTCGTCATATGGGTGTCAAACTTTTTATATTTTTACTTTCTTATACGAAGTAAAAACGAACTATTGTAATAGCGAAAAGTTTCAGGCATTATATTTCAACAAAAATACCCATTTTTACCGCTATCGAATGCAATTCAGTGATGTTTTTGCGTGACATCTGTACGTAAGGACAGAATAAAAGATTCTTTTCCTCCAAAAAAATTATAAAACTGCTTTACAATGAATTCTGAAGAGAATTTTTCATGGTGTCTGTACGTACGTACGTACATAAGCATGTATCTCGCGTGTAACTCAAAAACGAGTCGCCTCAGAACGTTGAAATTTTGTATACAGGACTGCTATAACATGTAGATGTGCACCTCGTATTTTGGTTGCAATCGGTCGCACCAAAAGTATATAAATATATGCATAATTATTTTCACTCTGTTACTCGGCTCAGTAATCTCAGTTTCTTTACTCTTATATGTTTGTAAATCGTGCATTGTTTGCTTTAAAAATTATTGAATTGTGTTGGTTTTAACTTCCGGTTAAGGTTTGGATGCCTTTAGTAAATCTACATGCAGTATTTGTAGGAGTATCGACAATTTAAAAGTTGTTCAAGTACCGGTAAGCCTAATTTTTTTTGCCATGGCGGCCCTGTTTGTTTACATTTGAAACAGTATATTTGTTGCCAATCTAGAGAAAGTAAGCTTCGCAACAACAAAGATAACGCCTTCCTTTAATATTGCGAATTAAATCATGCTTAATCGTTTCTGGAATTTTTCGAGAAAATAAGTGTTTAAGATTTCGTAATTTTGAATATAGATATTTTGAGTTTTTATGTATTTTTGCCTTCTCGCGAAGTGAGAACTGAATTAATTGAATGAAAAATATTGAATCATCAGTGAAAAACTATTTCATTTTGTTTTATTTGTTTAATTTCTTTTATACGTCGTTCTAGATTTATTATAGTATTTGAAAAGAACATGTGGCAATGATTAGATCATTTTTCAAATGATATAAATTTTGTGCATTCTGAGTTATAATATGAACGAAATATAACGCTGTTAAGTGAACCTAGCGCCAGAGTTTCGCTATGGTAAACAAATATAGTGAATTTTAAAGAGTGTATTTATTCTATTGTGGTTTATGAGCTTTGGACGAAGTAGATTTAATTCAATCCAATAAGCTTAAATGAAATGCAAGAAAAAATGCATATAATTTAATATTCCGTAGAAGGAAGTCATGTGGTGTACACATCAGTTTTTTTATTTTTTCATAACGAGTATAAAACTTCTCCAAGTATAGGAACCGGAAGACCGCATTAAGAATAGATTTTGTTTTTTGTACAATTTTTTTTTTTTTTTTTAAATTTGGCATGCATGAATATTTTCGTCATTTAAAACACTTCTGTAATTTGAACTATTACAACTAAGGATTGCGAAAATAAAGGCCGGTTGGGACTTTTAAACCGGGTAAGGAAGATGTATAAGTACCTTCGCTACATCCGCTTGGAATAAAAAAGGAAGATCTACAACTAGATGTTATAGCAGTCTCATATGTAAAATTCCAACGTTCTATGACTAATCGTTTTGTAGCACGCGAAATACAAACTTCACGAAAACAGCCATTTTGAATCTTTTACAATCCGTTTTGGAAAAAACAGTCCTTATTTCTGTCCATACGTACAAATACCATGCAAAAAAAAATAGTCAAAATGGATATTTCTATTGAAATATGATAACCAAGAATTTCTTGCGATTACAGTACTGCCTTTACTGCGTACAAGGAAATAAAAAGATACAGTACTGATGTATAAAAAATATGCATGAGAGAAATGATGACGAATTCTAAAGTTAAAGCAAATTCTTTAAAGAAAAGATGCAGAAATTGTAATAAATTTCTATTCCTTTTACAAAGGTCTTTTTTATTTTCTAACTTTTAAATACTTCTAAATGCCTGAAAAAAGAAGTTTATAAATAATGCATTTAAATCTTTAATTCTAAGAAAATAAATAAAAAATGCCTCATATTTTTAAATAAAATATAAAAGAATAATTAAAGAGTTGTAATAACAACCACAGAACCTAGTTTAAAGTATGCATGATCAACATTTCTTTCCATCGCAATGAGGTTCTTATTTTAATTAACCAGCTATTATGACTTTGATCTTAATTGTAATTTCTTTTTTCCGTATTCCTCACCAGAATGTGAATTAGCTTTTAGAGAATATAAGCTGAGTGTTTTGAATCTCAGAGAGAGTGGGAGTTTCTGGCAATCGGAGCCGCGCTGTTAGAATTTCGCCAGCTCAATCTAAAAGTGATTATTCTGGCTTTGGCACTCTTGCAGCCGATACTTAATGTAACGAGAAAAATAACTGAGCCAGCTTATAGCTTATTTATTTGAGTCTCATCTGATCTGAGGTTGACAATACATTAGCTTATTTCGTGCTCGTGTTATACTTGAATTTTTTTGTATTACCCATTTTCTAGCCATCTTGCGTATCACAGCTCGAGCATATCAGGTACCCCTCTGGTACCTTCTTTCTTTATATTCATAGGTGAGTCCGATACCTTTCCTTGCATTTTATTTTGGTTAGCGTAGACTGAAGGGTACCCCTTGTATTATTGCGAAGTTGTTGTTTCATTTATCGCCAAGTTGTTGTTTCGTTTATCGCCAAGTTGTTGTTTCATTTATGGTAACCTGAGTAGCTGAATGTTATGGAAACCCTATTATGACGTAATTGGTTGCCATGATTGCGGTAAATTTTGAATTATGGGATGTTTTGTAAGGGCTTGCGGTGTGTATTGGTTAGGAAGTGCATTGCTTGTTTTGTAGTTTACACGGTAGAATTGCTGAATGAAGTAAGATTAATTTGATGTTTCTATACAATTTGGAACAAAAGGGGGAAAAAAGCAGTAATTGACTGGTGTGTAAATGAAGGTTAACTTAGTAGCAATTTTCCGGACAGTCCGAAACTACGGAGGATATTTTTGACTCTTAATTTTGTGAATTTATGTAGCGACGCCGATATACGGATTCGAGTTCAGATAATTTTAGGAAGTTTCTGGATGCTGTTAAGGAAATTTGTGTTCCACAGACTGAAAATGAAGAAATTTCTAACTAAGGTAAGTGGATATTTGTTTTGTGTAGTGTTTAGATGCATAAGAGGTTTTTCCTTTTTTATGTTATTTTACTGTTTGGTTTTAAATGTAGTTTATTGAGATTATGTATTTTTTGTTTGCCTCTACTACAGAATTGAGTGTTCTTTTGACTTTTTAAGTGAAAATATATCGATGTGTACATGGACAAAGTCAAGGGAATGCGCAATGCCAAGTTTGTGCAATTCTCTGATGTTTTTTTTAATGAAAATAGGTCGACGTGTACATGGATAAATTCAAGGGAGTGTGCAATGCGTAGTTGGTGCAATTTTGTGGTGTTTTTTTAAGTGAAAATAGGTCAATGTGTACATGGATACCGAGTTTGTGCAGTTCTTTGACTTGTTATTTTTTCTTTGTGTAGCGGCGATTTTTGGCGCTAAAGCCAAAATAACAAGTCAAAGAATTGCACAAACTCTGTGTCCATGTACCGCCAAAATTCGCCAATTTTCGCCAAGGGATACCCGTAAATAGACTTTTACCTTTAATTTATTTCACTTTTCTGCCATTTCAATTTTATAAACAATGTCAGGCTAAATTGCTTTTACAAAATAAGAGGAGTGATAGTACCCATCCAGACGAGCAATAACTTCCATGGAACATAGTTTTGCATTTCACTCTGAGAAGTAGAGTATCTCGCACGATGGATCGGACGTGGCACATTGTGGCTTGGACTCCTCACCCTTTGGACTTTTCTTCTGGGGACACGTGAAATCTTTAGGGTACGAAACGTCTGTCGAATCGGCTGAAGATGTCGCTACGAGTATCTTTGTTGCCGCAGATAAAATTAACACAGCACCAGGAATCCTCGAGACAGTGCGTCAGTCAATCATTCTCATTGCTCAAAGCGAAAGTTTACAACGGCGATAAAATATTATATAAATAAGTTAACCTTGCTCATAATTCGCTTGATGTGTAACATAATTTGTACTCACCTCCGTACTTTGCTGCTATCAGATAAACTGATAAAATTTCATTTACGCCACCTAGTCTGCAAGAATCTATTTGACAGAACTGCAGTGAGCCAGCTTGTATCATCTGCTTAAACATTACTCGATTGTGACATTGTTCTCCAGTAGCAATTCCGATGCCATATGGTTGAAGAGCCTGGTAAGCAAAAACCTTTTGTAAGACATTTAATGCATTCTTAAACTTAAAGAAGGAAATTAAATTTTATCCTAGCATTGGACTAGATCCTTAAACAGCCAATCCGAGGCAAGGGGGACTTTGTTTGAGTTCGACTACCCTTATCCCGGATTGGCCTTTAAATTAGCAATTTTATAGACAAAATAGCAAAACACTTTCATATCTAAAACCCAATATTCTAGCATATTTTACCTAATACCTTTGCGCCCCAACTGTCTTCTTCAAAATTTCCCCGTTTGCTCTTATCGACAAATGTGTCAGAACACGAAACTAATTGATATAATATTTCACTGAATCTACATTTAGAAACAATGATTTTTTTCGTGTGCTTAAAGCAGAACAATGATTAATGAAACATGATTCAGTAGGTATTTTCTGTTAAAAGAATCCTCCATTGCTTCATTAGTTTCTAAGAAACATGCTTAATGTTTGGTATAGCAGATCTGAAGAAAACATTACACTCAAAATAAGTAAATTCTTAATCGGTATCCCTGTCAGTTATCACTGTCAGTTTTATACTCAGACCATTGTTTAATTTTTTAGCTATAATTTATCTTTTAGACCACAAAATTTCATCAAATATTTTGTTATTACATACCTCTCCTCCATTAGTTTTTAGCCCAAACAGCGTTAACCCAGAAGCACTATTAATTTCGTCGAAAAGTTTAAATCTCCGTTTCACTTTTCCAATTGTTGCCTCCAAATATTATCGCCCTGTGTTATATTTAAATAATTATAAATTTGCATAAATGTATGTATGTTTCTCGCATTGTGATAGAACAACGCGGTACCTAGAACCAGTCATCTAATTTTGAATAACGTCATCCTTCACCGAATATGGGCATCTGGAAGACCGAATTTGGAATTTAGAATTTGTTTTATTATCGATTTCGTATTTTGTAACTTTTTAACGAATTTTTTATTAACAAACACAACGATTTCAAAGCGATCAATGGAGGATCAATGTACGAAAAAAAACATTTTTATCTCCAGGACGTGAGACTGTAAAATTCTAAAGATACACGCATTTTGAAATTATTTTGCGATATTGTTATTGAATTGAATTTTATGGTTTAAGTGCGAAGGACATGCTATTTAATAAATAAAGGTAACACACAAAACGTTACAAAAAGTCCCTTCGGGCGTAATATAAAATCTGAAATCTTTCCGATTTTTTTTTTCCCCACAAACGTTCTCTGCCGCGTTTTTCCATTCTTCAATAATATTTTCGAAGGTGACTACGAGTCAATCATTCTAAAGTTGTTTTATTGCAATGCCGATTTTTTCAAGTACAAAAAAGTTCTGAAAATAGAAACCCCAAATCTCTTTCACAAACCATTTATTTTACGGATCATGTCTCGCAAAACGTACGCCAGAAAGCACTATTATTTGACTGTTGAACAAATTTGTATTCTAATCCCATAAAAGTCACTTATATAAGAATGAAATTCAGGTCAGCTGCTTACAAATTCCAGAAATATTACAGTATCAGCTAAGTAGGACCCAACGTCCCAGCTAAGTAGGAAGACAACTTATTCTAAACTAAAATCTCCCAACCATTTCTGGGTCACCTCTCATTTTGCAAAATGTTTTTACATGTCTCCTTGAAGTAAATTATTACAGTTCCCAAATTGCAATGTACCTGTAATACTTGATCATAAAAAATCGCACTCGAGATTTAAAAAGTTAATAAAATACCTAGGAATTTAAATTTTACTATTATTTATTAAAATAAGAAGACTGAATTATTAAATAATCAAATAAAGAAACATAAAAGAATAACCATTCATGAAGATTCTGAACCTTCACAATGATGCCAAAGCTACTTGATCCACTTCAGTTATAGGCGTGGTAATCCACTGTTTTAACTTCCTTTGATATGAGAAACCCAAACATTTCATCGTTAATATAAAAAGAAAACACTACACAGGGCTATTTTGTGATCGGAATGATAGTCATCAGTGATCGGCAATGGTCATCAGCAATGGGAAGGTTACGTTAGATGTTGGCAGTTTCTCACTGGCAGTGTTACTCTTAGACAAAAAAAACGACACACCAAGAAAGAGTTATCCGAATGGGACGAAAATCGGTAGAAGTGATTTATTTACTTGTACAGAAAAACAAATGATTACTGTTTGAGAAAAATTGGATGATTTATTGAAATGATAGAGCTTCGCAAAGTGAAGAAGTCAGTAACGCGTTTGTCCACCTCTGGCCCTTATTCAAGCAGTCGTTCGCTTGGCATCGATTGATAGAGGTTGCGGATGTCCTCCTGAGGGATATCGTGCCAAATTCTGTCCAACTGGAACGTTAGATCGTCAACATCCCGAGCTGGTTGGAGAGCCCTGCCCATAATGCTCCAAACGTTCTCAATAGGAGAGAGATCCGGCAACCTTGCCGGCTTAGGTAATGTTCGATAAGCACTAAGGCAAGCAGTAGAAACATGTGCAGTGTGAGGGCCGGCATTACCTTGCTGAAATGTAAGCCCAAGGTGGCGTGACATGAAGGGCAACACAGCAGGCCTTAGAACTTCGTCGACGTACCGCTGTGCTGTAAGATTGCGACGGATGACAACCAAAGGGGTCCTAATATGAAATGAAATGGTACCCCAGTCCATCACTCCTGGTTGTCGGCAGGTTGGTATCACACCGCTGTCCGGGGCGTCTCCAGACTCGCCTTCGCTGGTCATCGGGATTCAGTTCAAAGCGGGTCTCATCACTGAAGACTATTCTACTCCAGTCAGTGACATTCCAGTGCGAATGAGCCCGACACCACTGCAAACAGGCTTGACGTTGTACAGAGGTCAATGGTAGTCGGCGTAAGGGGCGCCGTGACCTCAGTCCCCTTTCTGTGAGCCGTTTATGAATGGTCCTTGCGGTCACTGAAGCACTAGTTGCACGTACAATCGATGATAATGGTGCATCTGGGGCTGCACCATTATCATCTTTGCCTTTGGTGAGGGCCGCTCTGATGATTGCTCGGTCTTCACTTTCTGTCGTTTCTCCAGGCCTTCTGTCGTTTCCTTCTTGACGCTGTGTGCGGCCATGCTTCACCCATTCCTGCCAACATCGTCTAATGGTGGCATCGCTCCCGCTCAAATGTCGAGCTATTCGCCGATAAGAACAAATGGCTTCTTTGAGCCCAACTACACGCCCTCTCTCAAATTCTGACATCTGCGCATATCGTTCGCGCACGTGTATGGGAGGCATAAGTTATTGTCTACCAGTGTACACGGAATGAAAATTTCTCCTCTTAAATATCCTGCCAGTTGCGAAGATCAGATGCTTTGTAGCGACAACTGTTCATTCATTGGCAGCAAAAATGTAAAATTTTGCATTTTCCGTCGAAACCTGTATGCATATCAATTTGTGTCCAGTTTGCTTTGTATCTTCTAGGTGCGTAGTTTTTTTTTTTTTTTTTTTTTTTTTTTTTTTGTATAAGAGTGTTTAAACTTTTTAAATCGAGAAGAAACTCCATGTCATTGCACATAAATCTGATGGAAGCGAAGTAACGCATTATTAGATAAGCTATGAAATACTGGAGTTAGGGCTCGCCGAGATGATTTACGTAACAGAAGTTTCCCTTGTCGTGAAAGAAGGGATACGTAGAGAATCGTAAAATGTATTTTTTAATATTCTCTTCCTCTGTAAAGTAGTAGCATATTAAATTACTCCTAACCATTACGAATCACATAGTATTTTTAAACTTTATAAACAAGGTCGCTGACATTCTTCTGCTGTTATGTTTCTCTTTCATTACTCGTAATCAATAAATAAGCATTCTTCTTGGCTATTGTTGCGTTCGTACGGGTTCGTAATGGATTGAATGCACAGGTCGATAAAAAGTTAATAAAACGTTAATTAGAACAAACACAATTCAAAGCATAAAAAGCTAAACCGATCTCACTGCGAACTCGCTACAATCAGCAACAAGAACTGAGTAAACAATTGAATTGAGATGTTTTCCTCCGGCTTTTTAAAGCTTTTTAGCCATGCACGAGAACATTCTGATAATTTTATTTTTCTCGAGGTTTCTGGAAATCAAAAGATTACAATTAAGAGATATCTATTTATTAAATGTTAAATGCGCGTGCTGCTGCATTTTAACTTTTCCGGCGTAGCTTTTTCTTCAAATAAGTCTCGTGCTGCATTGCATGAGAATAAAAAAAACTTCAATTATAATTCTGTTAAAAATAGCTAAATAAATACAAAATCCGTAACAATATTAAATTCAATATTTCTTAAAAATTAGACTGCAATGAAAAAAATGCACATCATAAAATCAGAGCAATTATTGAGGAATTTAGATTATTATTAATAAATTAGTTATCAACGGAAGAAATTTCAGTACTTCGTTAACGTGTTCACACTTGCTGAAAAAAGTAAAAAAATTAAGATTAAATTATTACATTCAGATATTGTATGCCAGGCATGTACAAATGAATTTTAAATTACTTCTTTTATTGCACTGATATATTTTTTAAATAAATACAAGATCTTATGCCACGTGGTTTGACAGCACCTTCTTATTTTCTAAATGAATCAGCTTTTCTTTATAAAGTTAGCGGTATCTGTTCAGTATGTTCATAAATTCTAAACTTCACTCTTCCTTCTATGAATAAAAAAAGAAGCTATATGATCTTCAACTCAAAGCATTGCTCTCCAGTCGATCAAGAAGGGGGGAAGGGGAAGTATTTTGAGAAAGAATGATAAATGAATTTTTCTCCTCCTTAATGCACGATCACAATGATCTATTTAGAAAAGAAGAAAACATTAAAACAGCTGTTAGCTTTATTATACTACAATCAATTATTGCTACTGAGCAGATAATTTTCACGATTGTCTACGTGCAATCATAAAAAAGGTTTCTATGATAAAACTGGGTGATAGAAAAGAATTGCCTGATCTTGCTAGACCAGGGGTTCCCAACCGGTGGTACGCGTACCACTGGTGGTATGCAAG